AAATCTTTGCGTGTGGAGAACTACTGGAAGGTAAGGATAGCCACAGAAAAGGTTGTTGCCTGTCATTTGAATATCACAGAGAAAAATAACAAAAGACCATGAATAATTTTTTTTCTCTCATTTGGAAGTTATTAGTAGACTTCCTTTTGTTCCATTGAGAAATGAGAGAAGAAAATATGAAGTTACAGCGAACCCATATGGCCAGCAGGAAAATCCTACTTAATTGCTTTATTGCCAGAAATGTTAAATCACTTCCTGAGGATACAGTTCAAATGAAACATATGGCAGCTATTAACAAAAAACCCCTAATGAATTCAAAAATATGCTTTTTATGGGAGCTTTCACATAAGCAACAGTCATGCATATTACTTAAGCTATATATACAAATATGCACTTGGTTTTTTATTCCCACAAAAATTTGATGAACACCTACTTTGTACCAGACGATACAGACAGCTTGCATGAAGTGATTTTTTTTTTTCCAAGCCCAGAAATGCACTTCCCTGGTGGCTCAGTAGTAAAGAATCCACCTGCCATGCTGGAAACCTGAGTTTGATCCCGAGTGGGAAAATCCTCTGGAGAAGGAAATGGCAGCCCACTCCAGTATTCTTACATCATCAAAGGCAAAAAGAAATCTCCTGACCAGCAGTTTCTCCCCAGGGGTTCAACACCCAGGAAAACCATACCATTTCTGTCTGGGTAGCACTCCAGTAAGGGTGCTAATCACTGTCATTCAACAACCTCTGAGTGGAACGATTCTCCTGGGTCTTCTTCAACTGGATCGTGAATTCCACACACACACACACACAGAAAAAGTGGCTCCTAATTAAGAAACAGCAAATAGCTTTAACTGAAAACCAGGTGTCAGCATTTTTTTAAATTTATTGCCTTTCATCGCTAGAAAATTTCACAGATCTAATCAGTGTATTCATAAACCATTTTCTAAAGAGATGGTTCTCCCTCAAATTCAAATATAAATCAGCTGAAGGATATCCAGCTGTTATTACTATGTGATTATGCTTTAAAAGAAAAGTTATAAACGTTGGGTACATTAAACTCTGACTTTCCTTTCTCCATGTGCTGATACGGCCATTGCAGTTATTTAATGGAGGTGAGTTTTGGTAACTTAAAGAATCATGCAGAGCTTGGGGTGATATTCTAAAGTAACTGGCACTGTCTACATGACATGTTGGATCTGGCTATTTGGAGGCTAAGATATTTTTGTTTGATAGGGCAACTTGATTAATATCTTTATTAAATATTTACTTACACATGCTTGGTTACACACTTTGTAATCAAATAGAATAAAATATGGAGAAGGCCTGTCACTGGTCACCTTGGAATTGGGGTAAGACATTCAATTTGTCTAAAACACTTTAGCCATAAGAAGAGAGAGCTTATTTAGAGAATTTCTGAATGTTTCATACAGACATCCTGCACAAGTATTTTGTGGTCTAAGTCAATATCTGCCCATAGCGCCTCTGCAAACCTTTCTTCTCCTTTGTTTCAAAATACTCTGATTATTAGTGTTTTGAAATTAGTGATCTCGAAGATCAGCATGTGAGTAGTTGTGTCCTGGCTTCCATTCTATTAATGTGACCTCACAAAACTTGCTATACTTTTTTAAGACTTCATGGAGTTGGCCTAAGGATTGAGTGAGTTTATGCAGGTAAAATCTTAAAGCTGTACCTTGTACATACTGAGAACTTAGTAAGTGTTAGCTCTTCATACACTGAGGAACATTCTCCATGAAAGTGAAAGTGTTAGTCCCTCAGTCGTGTCTGACTTGATGCGACCTCATGGACTGTAGCCCACCAAGCCCCTCTGTCCATGGGATTCTCTAGGCAAGAATACTGGAGTGGGCAGCTATTTCCTTCTCCAGGGGATCTTCCCAAACCAGGGTTCGAACATGGGTCTCCTGCATTGCAGGCAGATTCTTTACCATCTGAGTCAATTACCTATTACCACCCTTTACAATCTTGTAATGAAAGGGTTTCTATTTTGTTTTGTTATTTATTTGCTTGAAACAATAGAGAAAATTTAATTTAAAAGCCCTTATCTCTAGTCAGGGGACAAATCTGGGGCTAGGTTTAAAATATATAGTATGGATTTAATTCCATTCTTAGACCTTTCCCAAAATAGAGACATAAGAAGTAAACAAACATTGCCAAAACTGTAGGATGACTTTCTTGTCAAGGGAAGACAGAGTCAGAGAAGTTTTTCTTGAAACAAAGAAGAAATCAGATGATTTTGCTGTAAATAAAAGGGTGCTGAGGACAGGGCTGGAAGCCTGTGCAGTCCATTTGAGGCCCTGCTGTCTGGATGTGGTCCTCTACTCTGCCATTTAATAACTGGATGTTCTCCTCAGGGCTGCATCTTTGCCAGGATGCAGAGTCAGTATTCACAGCCACAGAACACGAAGTGAACAACTAAAGGTAGATCAAGATTAAGTCAAAATATGCTTTCATGGTAGATCAAGCTTGCCAAAACAAATCCTCCTCCATTTTTTTAATCCATAGATTTTTCCCTTATTTGAAAAACTGCATCAATCTCCAAATCCTGTAAATTCCAAAGGTGAGGTTCTCAACAATAATCAATATCTCACAAAGGTATAATAGTCTTGATCTCTGAGATTTCCAGAAATGGAGATTGATATTATTTCCTTAGGCTAACCTACAATAAAGGTGCACGTGAAATTTCCTCTCTCCCTCTCTCCCTCTCTCGCTCTCTCTCATATACATGTGCAACAAAATTAATTTCCCATTTGAGCCTATTTTCCTTCCTTCAACTCTGAAGACTTTGTCCCCTAAAGAAGGGGAGAGAAAAAAAAAAGAAGGGGAGAGAGACATGCTTGTAGACATCTTGTGTGGTCAGCGGTTGTGGCGTAGAAAGCGTGAAATCCCAGTGGATCAAATAGATTTATAAAAGGCTTTCCAATAAAAGTTAATGCCCTCATGCTAACTGTATTTTATACATGAGTGGCTGAGGTGAATGGCAATCAGAAGCTCACTTCCTTAGTTTGTTTTAAGGTATCCAGAAGGAGTAGAACTACACTATTCTGCCTTAAAGTCTGTTGAAGACATCTCATCCTGAACTCTAGTTTCTAAATAATAGTGATAGATAATCGTTACTAGGAATTGAACTTCTAAACCTCTCATTTCAGTAATTCGCTCACTGGAACAGTGCCCATAGTAGCAAATAGAGCGTCTGTCTTTTCCCAAGGACCTCATGTGCTTTACAGAAGCCATTACATCTGGTGCTTTCAGCAGCCCTGTGAAGTCGAGGTACTTATCCCCCTTTTATAAAGGAGGAATCTGAACCTTGAGAGGACTGGACAGAGACTTAAAAGGCTCAGATACTGACCAAACAATTAACTTTCTTTGCCTGACAAAATAGGACAAAGAAATTAAACTATAAAAAATTTGATCCAAATTCAAAGTGTTTTTAGTTTCATTTATTGCAATACCTTTTAAGGGTGAGATGAGTCTGTCTTCAGAGAGGAAAACAATTACATGGCTGATTTACAATGAGCTTAGCTGGATCTAGTGACTTCACGACAGTGCCACAGCTCTTTCTTTTTTTCTTTTCAGCTTCATTGAAGTATAATTGTCAAATAAAATTTTAAGACATTTAAAGTGTGCATTGTAGTGATTTGATATATACATATCAAATCAATCATCATTTGATTGATGATTATATATATCAAATCATATACATCATTTGATTGATGTATACATTGTGAAGGGCTTCCCTGATGGCTCAGAGGGTAAAGAATCTGCCTGCAATGCAGGAGACACGGGAGGTACAGGCTCAATCCCTGGGTTGGGAGATCCCCTGGAGGATGAAATGGCAACCCACTCCAGTATTCTTGCCTGGGAAATCCCATGGACGGAGGAGCCCGATGGGCTACAGTCCATGGGCTCACAAAGAGTCGGACACAACTGAGTGACTAAGGACACAAAACACCCATTGTGAAAGGATTCCCTCTTTCATTAATTAATATATCCATCACCTCACATATTTGTCTTTTTTTGGTGAGAACATTTGAATTCTACTCTCTTAAAAAAATATCAATTGTATAATACAATTATCAACTGTAATCCCCATACTTTACATTAAATCCTTAGACCTTATTCATTTTATAGCTGAACGTTTATACCTTTCACTAATCCTTCCCTATTTCTCCCACTCCACCAGCCCCTGGCAACCACTTTTCTACTCTCTCCGTTTCATGCTTTTTTTTTTTTTTTAAGATTCCACATATTAAAAATACCATGTTGTATTTATCTTTATTTCACTTTGCATAATGCCTTCAAGGCACATGTTATAGCAAATGGTATGATTTCCTTCTTATTCAGGCCTGAATAATATTACACACACACACAACCACACACACACATGCATACCACATCTTCTTTATCCATTCATCCATCAGTGGGCACTTAGGCTTTTACCATATCTTGGCCATTATGGATAATATTGCAATGCAAATGGGAGTGCAGATACCTCTGATATCCTCTTTCCTTTTCTTTAGACATATATACTCAGATGTGGGATTGTTGGATCATATATATGGAAAGTATAAAGTATTTTTAACTTTTTGAGAGACTTCCATTCTATTTTCCATAATAGTTGTACTGAATTACATTCCCACTATCAGTGCCCAAGGGTTTCCTTTTCTCCACATGCTCACCTCTACTAATCATCTCTTGTCTTTTTGACGATGACACTCTATACGTGTGAGTTGATGTCTCATTGTGGCTTTAATTTGCGTGTCCCTGATGATTAGTGATGCTGAACACCTTTCATGTGCTTGTTTGCCATTTATATGCCTTCTTTGGAAAAAAAAAAATGTCTATTCAGTTCCTCTTCTCTGATATTATTAGTGTCAGGCTGTATTTAATTTTTGCTTCATTTATGGGGCATCATTTTCTTCCTAATAATATTATTTGCTATTTCCTTCTAATGATACCACAATTTGTGACTTTTTTCTTTTTCAGGCGATTCCAGGTATTTCAGAGAAGGAAAAGGCTGGTAAGTTGACACTGGTTTTGTTTTCACTCCTATCTATTTTAGAATAAAATTCCATCTTCATATGGACATTTCATTAAATATCTAAAATGCATACATCTCCTCAGTTTCTGGGCAAAAGTTGTGGTTGAATTCCTAGAACAATAAGTTTTGCTCAAAATGCAAGGAAAAAATATGGTTTTCTAACCTAACATTATATCTTGTTAGAATAAGGTGTGTAATTCTTGTGGCCTTAATTGTAAATGTGATCACAACTGTTTTCTTGAGGAAAATAATTAGATGTTTTTCAGTGTACTGAGGAATGGTCTTTGGAGATCTGTTTCTCATACAGTCAGCCCTTTGTATCTATGGGTTCTGCATCCATGGACTCAACCAATCTGGGTCAAAAATATTTGAAAAAGCAAAGATTTCCAGAAAGATCCAAAAGAGAAAAACTGGAATTTGCCACAGAGGCAACTATTTACATAGCATTTACTTTGTGTTAGTTATTATAGCTAATCTAGAATGAATTTAAAGGATGTAGGAGGATGTATGTAGGTTGTATATAAGTACTGGGCCATTTTATGTAAGAGACTTGAGCGTATGTGGACTTCGGTGTCCACCAGGGAGTCCCAGAACCAGTCCCCTGAGGCTACTGAGGGACCAAGATTATGAAGGGTTTTTAAAAATTTTAGTAGCCTGTTTAGTAGTCCTAGAAAAAGATGTGCTTGTTTAAAGATTATGTCATACCATCAAAAATATAATTGTGAAGTGATATGGATAGTTCACTAGAGAAAAATGATAATATGTTTCTGTGCTATGTGCTATAATTATAACTATTTAACAGTATTATGGGAAGTGGATGAGGATTACTGAGAAATGCAGAAATATGAAAAATTAGACTCAGGTTGGTGGAATGGTATGCTTTTTAACAATCTGTTGATCATCCTCAATATAGTCTTACATTTTCTGTGTAAAAAAAAAAAATCTCTTTTTAAAAAACAGATTAAAGGTGCTTTACCAAGCTTGAAGCACATCACTTAGCTCTTTGATGTGTGTAATTTTTAAAAGCCAAATTAGAAGTTTATAGAACCATCTCAAAGATGTCATGACTTCAGGTGACTTTACATTAATGCATTAGAGTTGTTCTGATAGGATTGTTTTATGGTGGATGTTGTGTCAAGTTCAATGACTCGATTTTTGCTGCCAGATAGTTTTCACACACAAGTTTTCATAGTTTATGTCCTTCCAAGAGCTAAGGTGTTCTCTGTTTAGGCTGTGTCTAGCCTCTTCTGTCTAATATGTTGAAAGGTAAACCTTCCAAATAAAAGAAAAACATGGAACTGGTATCTTGTGTCAGTTCAAGAGAAAAACTGCTCGGTTTATCATGTGTTGGTATCATGCACTAGACTAATGATATATACTAAACAGATTCAAATTACCATTACGGAGCTCTAATACCTTCAATAATTAATATATTAGCTATCTCCTTAGAACAAAACATTAATGGTGAAGAGCGCATTTGCATCACAAAGAAAAAGGAAGTTAGCCAAAGCTGTGTTTTATCTTGTGTTGTGACATTCTCTGTAATTTGCAGGATTGGCTACCATTTAAACAAAGGGTGTAACAGAGCAAAGTTGTCATCTTATTCCAGAAAATCAGCACATTCTTCCATACCCCAAGGAGAAAATTAGGATAGGAATTCTTGGCTGGAGGGGCAGGGGGAGAAAGGCTGGAAATGCCATTGCTTGAGAGACTGAAGAGGTGAAGACTTTTTCTGCCACTAAAATGATGTCAGTGTGCTAGGGAGAAGCACCTCAGTTATCAAGCTCCTCTTAAAGACATTTTTATTAAAACAAAGAGCTAATTAAACAGAAAACATACATATAATGCACACACCACTTTTTAAAAGCCATAATCCCAGATGTTTTCCTCCTCAACAATAACAACAACAAAAAAACCCCCATGAAATTAAGTGTCACTATTTAATTATCTCTTTGGGTAATTTTTACACTCCTGGGGCAGAAATTTTTAAAGTTGATAGATTTCATTCACAGATGATTTGTGAAAGGTCGGATGCACTAGTCCCTATGTATGACCTAAGCAGACCCCCGGATGCCCCATCTCAGACGTTTAACCCAGGATGGGCTGATTTGAGCAGAACCTGGCTTTTGTGTTTTAAAACATTAGAATGATTGAAATTCACTCCAGAATGGATTCTAATTTAGATTTCTTGAGAATGTACAGTACATTATAAGGAAATATAATTGGAAATACAAGGAGGAAATACAATTTTGTTTGAGAACATAAATACAAGAAAGAAATGTTTTTTTAAATCAATGAATTTATATGTTAAGATAGAGGCTTATGTTTGAATATTTTATTCAGTTTGCAACAGATTTGCCAATTCAAAAGAGAGTATGATTCATTTCAGAAGGTTTTAAAGGACTATGAAAGTCTAATCAATTTCCTAAATTTCTAAAATTTATTATGCCATATTTAAAATATTTTGAGTGTTTTACATACAAATATGAATATCTTTATTCCTTTTTATGAATCTTTGTTTTTAAGCTCTGCTAGACAGAGGAGTGACAGGAAAGGCAGAGGACCTACTCAATCTTCTGGGGGTTAATTGAGCCTTTAAATAGGATTAAGCTTCATTCCCACCCCTAAGGCCTGTCATTTTTTTTTTTGTTTGGCTAAATGAATGTAGCCTATTGTTTCTTATTAAGAAAGTCTATTTTAATCTATGTGACCTCTCATCCAAGCCAACTGGAACCAGCTCCACCAGGCTTTGTGAAGCTCTAAACAAAATCATTTGGGGAGCATGCTATTAATAATTCTTAAGCTGTAGTTGTGTGGTTGCCCCAGTGTGGGGTCTAAGTAGCTGTCTTCTCTTCTGATCTGTGTTGCTACATAAATTCAGCCTAGTGGAATCATTCTGCTGCTTCTCTACCATCTTGGGATGACAAAGCCCTCCAAAGGAAGACTGTTGTTGTTAAACAGCATCCCATTGGTTCATTTACTCCACAAATATGTATAGAACAGCAACATGCACTAAGCATCATATTAGGTTTTATCAAGGAAGCTGTTATGAACAAGATATGGTTCTCGCCCAGAAGGAACTCAAACTCGAGAGGAAAATATTGCATTGGGCCAGCATCCTCCTTTTCCTCTTCTCAAAGAAAAATTCTTAAGCCAAGTTATTCAGAAAGCCTCACAAGAAAAGAATCAAATAAAAATATTGTTTTCAAGAAATTCTATGTTGGAATGTGCATTCTCCAGATCTAAGAGTCCAATACATTTTGTTTTAAAAAATCAGAATTAATCGCACAAGTATCAGTATGTGTAGTTGTATCCAACACAGAATAATTTCAGTTAGCTTCCTTTATGCCACCAGAATCTGTAAAGAGTGAGCCCAAAGCCACTGGTATATTTTCCAGCACATCTGCTTCCTGCCTGTGTATCCTTGAGCAAGTTCCTTAACCTCTTCATTTTCCCATTTCTAGAGAATAAATAAAGAAGCTGCCATGGTGTAAGGCTACAATGCTTGGCACAAAGTAGGCTCTAAAAAATGGTAGCTGTGTCTTGTGATAATGAGTTGTGCTTATAACCACCACATGTGCAAGCCAGAGAGACTAGCTGTGTTACTCCTGCCCGTGTCTGCTCAGAGATCTTGAACACTTCCTCGGGGCACCAATTAACAGCTGAGCAGCTGTCCATGTGGAAGAAAGAGATCACTTTCTCCGGAAGCCTCTGAGTCAGTTCACTCAGACAGAGGTTATCACAGGGTAGGCAGACTTGTCCATATTTTAACATCTCTTTAGAAATTCTTAGCTCTATTAATGTGAAATCCTCTCAAGTGAATAGATAATCTTTGATTTTTCACAAAAGATTACTCCCTGAGAAATGTATGTCCTAGATGCTGGGGTAATTGAATCCTGTCTACTCAGTGCCCACCCTCTCTCCCTTGCCTCCTGCATATAGTCCTGTCAATACTGCCGTCCTATCATCCCATGTCCATTCTCCCTGCTGTTGTTTTAAAGCAGCCCTCCACTTTGCGCTGACTTTGGAACCAGCGTCCGGAACTGGTTTACCCGCCTTAACTTATCATTATACCAGTTCACTTTCTACACTGTCACCAAAATTATCTTTGAAAAGCATCACCTGATCATGTGGATTCCTACTTCAGCTTTTTGTTAACCTCCTTACTGATTGCACGATAAGATCAAACCTTCCTGCTTGACATCATTGGCCATTTGTAATCTGGGTGCTGTGTATTGCACTGGATATGCCCATGTCACCCCTCTGGTTCACCCTCCACCCTCCTTCTCCCCAGTTCTGTGATCTGGAGGTGGACCAGTGTGGGCAGAAGCTTGGGCTGCTCTCTTTTCTGTCTTCTTGTTGCACCAGCAAGGAGCCTCAACAGGAGAATAATGGTTGGAAGGACAGTAGGGCTGTGAGGTTGGGTCATTTATTCCTCCATCTGCCTCCCGAGGAATCACAGCTGGCATTTTCCACCCAAATTCCCATGTTCTTTAAATCATTCTCTCCTCTGGCCTTGTGGTTCCCCTACACCTTTATCAATAGTTCTGTTATTAAACTCCCCTCAATTTACCCAGGTTGCCATCTGTTTCCTACTAGGGGTTTCACTGATAAACCCACCAATATTTTCTCTTCTTTCTATTCCTTTGTGTTTGGTTGGTTGGTTTGTCCAACTTCAGCCATAATATACAGCCACAGAACCCATTTTAACTTTGATCTTTCTACTTCTATGTAGATGATGCAACTGCCTTTTTAAAAATACAGATGATAGGTGGAGATAGAGGGAGAAAAAGAGAAATGACTTATTCAGGAAAAAGAGAAGAGATGGACCATGTTTATCTCTATCATAAATGAATAGAGTTTCATTTAATCACACTATTTAGAACGTGTCCTCTATTGCCCAAAGACATGTAAATTAGAAAATTACCATTGCTTTTTAGTCACCAAAATGTGACTCTCTAAGCATATTTGAAAAGTAG